TGATGCACTGAGGTGTTGTGGTAGACGTTCTGGTCCATGATGCATGATTCATGGTTCTCACTAACTTGCCATCTCCACTAATGGAGCCCATACCATGGTGGAGTCTCCACCGTGTGTCACTGTGGGTGCACCTGGCATCCAAACGTTCTCCAGCTTTTCTAAGGACAGAAACAACAATGCTGACCAAAGAGTTCAAACTTGGACTCATCCATCCAGAGGACCTTCTTCCAGTCAACAGTCCAGTGTTTGTGTTTCTGGATGTTTGCAGGCCTCAGTAACGGCTGCTCAGCAGCTCTTCTTCCCTCTAAGCCTTGTTCCATCAGTCATCTCTTATGGTCACTCTGGAGACCTTCTAAGACTCTGATCTAGAATCATCTCTGGATGAAGATCAGCAGTGGTCTTCCTTCTGTCTCTAGTCCTTCAAGTCTCGAGGTGTCGACACCTGCTTCAGTTTACTGTCATTTCCTGCCTCTTGCTTGGAGCATTTTGTAAGAACCAGTCTCGTTAGTTGACTCCAGATCAGACCTGGCCCCACTGTGAGAACACTTTCTGTCTTCTCCTGTTTGTCTCAGAGACCGTCCAGCATCATGAAGAGCTTTGATGCGACTCTTTTATTTCAGTGACAGGAATGAGGAATTCAAACTGAACACACCCAGAGATAAATAAATAAATAAATGAATGACAGACAGACAGACAGACAGACAGACAGACAGACAGATTTTCCACACCTACACACACACATATATATATTATATATATATGGTGGAAATGAGCTGCTTGGCGGAGGTCTGAGCTCTCAGAGGGATCTTTGAGTTGCTTTATTTTTTGGCACAATATTGTTTTGTTTTAAATTAGATTATTCTGCTTTTTATTCCTCAAAGGCTCCATCCAACTATTTTCAAATGAGACTTGACCTTGAAATACACTCGTTCAATTGTGTTTTGGTAGTTTGGAGCCGTGGCACTGACTATGGATCGTGTAGTTCCATTGGTGTTGGTGCTGATGAGTAAATGGTTTTGTGACATCCTCAGTAGAAAGTAATAAAAATACTGAAACACACTTTTGATTTGACAGTTTCGGCTGACATTATCCAGAGGTGATGTTTCTAGGTCCCAGTAGGTGGTGGTGCACTGGACTCCATTCCACTGAAACTGCTCCTAGCATTAACATACATGAGGGCCGTGGTGCCTTACCATGCCATATTGCTCCATGTCCATCCCACAGAGTAGCCAGGGTCTTCCTGGCTCCATCCCACAGGTTGTTGCAGTAAGCTTCCCTCAGCTGATTCTTCCTCTGGTAGAAGGAAACATCAGGGACGACAAGTGTTGTACCTCTATGTGTATTAGCTACTGGAATGACTCTCATAAAGACAATGTTCATCTTGAAGATTCCTACTAGTATAAGTCAGTATTATTCTCTTCTATGAAACGCTGCAGATAAAGTCACTGCTGAACAACAGGAACGGCATCGAGGAGCAGCAGGACCACAAACCATCGTATCAGTTTGATGCAGTGCTTCATTCAGGACAGATTCCTTCTTAGCTGAACAACAAAACTGACTCAGAAATAACCTGCATCCTCAATACATGCGTTGGCTTCAAAGTCTTTTGAAATGACTGCGTAGTATTTGCTGCAGCAGAACGGTGCCATCTGAACACACTACAATCCCACCTTCATACTGACGTTGAAGAACATTCCCCATGACTGAGTCCTATGATACAGCTTTTGTTAATTAACCCAGAATTTGATAGATGTTTTGAGTAATAAATTGGCAAACTTTAAACATACCCAAAGGTAGTAATCTGATTTGTTTAGAATCTGAATCAATTTTAATAGCCACGTTTGTACAAACAAGGTGAATCTTAGCTCTCTGTGTACAGTAATCAGAAAACAACTAAGTACTAAAAATAAGAAATTAAAAAATATGGTCAAAGCTGAGGAGTGAAGAAATAAACGAGAACAAAAACGTCTTCTGTTACTTCTGCTGCTGCTGGCACAGCTTCCACCAGCCAGTCAGCTTCATGGCCCTCTGTGGTCTAACTTCTCACTTTTATCTACATTTTCACTGATGTATAAATGAAATGTAGAAATGACAGTCTTTAAGTTACTGGTCATTATAATGAAAGAAAGGAGTTTCATGGTCGATGACCTACAGTCTGACAGTGACAGATCAAAGCTGAAAACATTAATGTATAAAACATGATAATTAACTGACAAATTAACTGCAGTTCCTTGAAAATGGAGACCAAATTATATTTCAGTCTTGATGTGCATTAAAGCATCAGCTGCTGCAGTCCTTAACCCCGTTCAGAAAGCCGTCTGGTGTTGTACTGTGTAACTGCTACGAGCCGATCTCAAAACCAACAACAGCTTCTTGTTCAGACAGACACCAGCACGAGACCACCTGAACGTCTGCCGAGCTGTTGTCCTGCTGTTTACGTCGCCTGGCTTTACTCTTTGGGCAGGTTTAATGTGGACACAGAGGAAAAACCTTTCCTTGACATTCCAGTAATTCTGCACACGTCTGGCAGATCTTCAGTATCTGTGAACTCTGGATGACAAACAGTGAAGCCTGTTTTTCTTTGTGCTGGTTCGTCTGAGTGACTGGCTGATGCAGCCGAGCTCCAGCCATGACCTACTGTGGACCCCTGATCAACACTGAGCTGCTCAGCTTTACCTTCATGAGGATGTGTTCAGTGGCGTCTGTGTTCAGCCCAGACTGCTTTTTGTAGTGCAGCTTTGACTATTGCACCGTTCTGTGTCAATCTGCATAGTTAAATAAAGTTCTAAATAGTAAGTAGTATGAACTTCATGCTATCGCACCCATGATTATTATACAGGCCTTAAAAAAGTTTAAGTGATGTATGATTCATTGCAGACTTCCATAAATGCCATGGACTTGATTCAGTGTTCACACGTACCTTATAAACATGAAGGAAGAGAATAGAGAGGTAAAGGAGGATCACGATGAGGAAGGGCACGATGAAAACAATGGCTAGCGGGGTGAAGACCCACAACAGGTACTCCAGAACGCTCAGGTAGTCCTCCACCTGACCAAGGCCCGCCCATTCCTCCAACTCATGAAACAAGCAGACCTGTGAACCAGGACAAGAGTCAGTACCACGACTTTGGTTAAGACTAACACATCTGGACAACTGCTGAAGGAATTAAATACGTTTTCTGCAGACATTCATATTTGCCGGAGCATGAATCCTAACGGGTGATACAGCGTCCCAGACTGACATCATGTACCGCTGGGAGAGAACGTGACAGAAGCTGCGATGGCGATTAATGCAACAAAAAAAAATGCACGTCACGTAACAGCGTACTGAACAGCATTAGCACATGTTACACACCAGAACACTTCAGGACAAACTAGCATGCTGTTTTATGTTCACATTCAGGCCACGTTTACACAGCGCAGGGTATTCTCTCAAAAATAACATTGCTCACACCAGATCGTTTTCAAAAAAATCTGTGTTCACACAAACCCGCATAAACCTGTTGGTAAGAGCTGCTATGAGCTGTCAGACCTACAGGGGGAAGTGTAACCAGAAGCCATGCTAGCCAATCAGAATCCTGGAAAAAACACACAACTACTCCCTGTTATCTAAACGATAACAGCGCGAGGGTGGTTTGTTTGGACTGACAGAGAAGTGGAGCGTTTACAGAGTGTTTGTCGCACACGTGACGCCGATGACGCTTCACTGTGACGTCAGACTCCGCCTCCTCCCGTCTACATGCAGACCTAAAGACAAAGTTTTTCCAAATCTCCACTGTGGCCGGAGTTTTCAGACGTGATGTTTTTCGGTGACTCGTAGCTTCATTTACATGTGAACCAAAGGCCCAGACGCGTTGAGATATCACCGTTGCTGCTACGTGTAAACGGGCCTCAGACTGCAGTGGACGTGTATAATACATGGATTATCAGAGACGGCTGGAAGCGCAGAGCTGCAACATACAGACTCATAAGGCAGATGTTTAACCAAGCAACGCCCAAAAAACGTCAGGATGTCATCACCAACAGAGCAGCTTGATCCTTATTCAGCACGTGTTCACAACCCCAAAGAGTTTAGAAGCTCTGAGTGACTGTGTTCTCAGCAAAAAGGCGACTGCATGGTACCCATAACACATTACATGGAGAGAAAACTAACCAGGTAGGTTCCAGGTGAGCTCCGTGCTTTTTCATTATCAAGTTGTGCGTGTCAGTGATAAATGGACAGCATTCATACCAAGAGGGAGACCGTGTTCTCTGCTGCCATCAGACAGGACTGGTTGCCGGCATCTGCCATCCTGCTCTGCTGTAGGCGATGACAGGACAAGGCCGCCTCAGGGACCAGGAGCCCGACGCATGGAGAGCATCTGCTGCTGCTGCTGCTGCTGCTGCATCCAGGGAGGCAGGACAGGAAGCCAGCGCCCACTGACTCACCGACTCAACTCAAACCCAGATTCACAACAGCAGTGACGGAGCGTCGTGTGGAACAACCTGAACAAAGAAACCACAAAATCAAAATCAGTGTTTACAATTAAAGCCGGCTTGTTGAGGAGATCTGTTCATTATGTCTGATGATAACGACAGGAAGTAATCAGGTCACATGTATTAAAGAAAATGTGTCTAAAGTAAAACGTGACTGTCGGCTTTGAAGGAGCTGTTCCATATTATTATTGTTGTTTTTGTTGTGACTATTTTGATGTTTATCGTATTGTTGTTGATGCTTTTAGTATTTTAAGTTGGTTGGAGATGTATTTCTTTGGGTAAAGGAGGCAGATGACATCATGTTCTGGTAGATTAATGGTAGCAGCTGAACCTGCTTGAGCTCCTTGAAGACATTCCACCTCTCATCCAAGAGGCTTCATCAGCTCTGACTGACTAGTTGGGAGTTCCACATACTGACATCCTGAAGGAGACATTAACACATGGGTTTGTTGCTCCTCCCCCTCGTTATGTGAGTCCTTAGTGCTCCCCCTGCCACAGTGGGGTTCGTTAGGGTCTCTGGAACTCCCAACTAGTCAGTCAGAGCTGATGAAGCCTCCTGGATGAGAGGTGGAACGTCTTCAAGGAGCTCAAGCAGTCCAGCTGCTACGACCAAACTGCCAGAAGAACCCTGAGCTGCAGGACTGAGGATCTTCACAGACATCAGATGATCCTTCAGGAGTGTTTGTGTCACGTTTAACTGATTTGTTTTAACTCAATGAATGAAATATACAAAATAAAATAAATTACTGGAGGACTCCAGTAGTTCAGTTTGTGCTTCACACAGACCGGAACGCGCATGCGTCTGCAGGCGTTCGGCTGTTTTGACACAAATGGTAGAAAAGCCGCCATGACTGAGAGCAGAGCAGCTGGTGGACAACAGCACCGACCGGACGGAGCTCGGAACCGAACTTCGGCTTCGCTGCTCACGATTTAGCTGAAACAGAACTACGATGACCGGGATTATAGCAGCAGCAGACGACCGGACCACCGTGAGCAGACTACCGTTAAACGAGCAGAGCTGCGGCCCCGGTGAGCACCGGACGGCACCGGGAGCAGCCGCAACACGACTGGACGGAACACGGTACCTCGGAGCTGCTCAGTCGGTGAACATTCACCCCGCAGTCAGGTCTGACGGCTGACAGCTGCCTTGGTCCTCATCCCGGCAGCCATTTCGTGTGACACAGTCAAGTGTAGCGAGATTCCTGTCCCCGGAAACCACCGGACCGACAGATGAGTTCCGTTCAGGCTCGTTAATGCTGAACTGCGCCACGCACGACCAGCGGGGGGCGCAGTCTGACACGTTCTAGTTTTTAAGAAACTTTGTGTGAAAAAACAGTACAGAGCAGTACAGCACCACCGCCAGGGGGCGCCCAGAACATCAGAATCAGCTTTAATGGCCCAGTACGGACACAACACACAGGGTTCTGGTTCCGGCTGTTGGTGTCCCCCTGGGAATGAGCAACAGTGCTTTCACTCATAGTTTAGCATTTACTGATTCAGTGACTCCCAACAAATCGCAGGTGATCTGGGCAGGCTGGTGATGAACTACAGGGAGCATCCTAATTAACACGCAATCAGATGAACTGTCACCGCAACACGGATCAGGAAGCGTCAGCATGAATGTTTAATCCTCATTGTTGTAGCGTTTTAATGATGTGAGGTCAGAGATTCAGTGGTGGGAGTGACAAACCACAAGACTGATTCACTGTTGTTGGGACCACAGAGGCCACAGCATATATATATATATACACTACCGGTCAAAAGTTTTAGAACACCCTAATTTTTCCAATTATTTATTGCAATTCAAGTTGTGCAAGTCCAATGAATAGCTTGAAATGGTACAAAGGTAAGTACTGAACAGC